TATAAATTAACCCATGTCTATATATTTATACTACCCACATATTCCATTAAGAAACATAATCTAAGGTAGACCTAAATTTATACGTAATTACCCACATCATATCCTCCTATTATGATCGATAATTTACATAACTCATTTCATCTCATTATTAAAAATTAAACCCCCTCAAATCTACATATAAATTATCTAAATTTGCTATTACAAAACATATTTAGATAACCATAGAGCATATATATTTCTACATTACCCACCTCTATAAATATTAATATAGTAAGATTTGATTAAAGTAAACATACGCATCATGCCAGCATGCATGAGCAATAAAATATATATGTTATGTTTCATCACATAAAAAAATTCTTAACAACGCATATACTAATGATACTAACAAATTGTTTAAAAAACATATTAGTAACCATAGAATATAATTTATATAGGTTGTTATTTTAGATATATTTATATAATTTAACTAAAACATTTGACACATCTATATTGATAATATCACCATAACTGCACATGTAATTTCTTGATAGAAAAATTCAATCATCTTGAGAAGTGTAGGAGATGACTGGAGGCTATATTTTCCTAGTCTCTTAAGAATATTTTAGAGTAAAAGTTGATTATTATAAGGATTAAGTATTAAAATTCTCTTGAGGTTAGCAGCGATACCCGATCCGATATTCACTTCAAGCTCTATGACTTAAGAGACATGGTGTATGTTTCAAATGATGGCTTATGCTACCGTATGTACTCTACAACCTAAAATCCTTATTTTGAAAAGGTAAAAAATAGAGTTAATGAAGATACAATAAGCACAAGTGTTTCAACTTAACTTGAGGAGAAAAAAAAATCTATGGTAGTCAATAAGAATAAAACTTGAAAAATCAAAATTTAGATTTATGACTTCATAAGATATGTGATGCAAGAAGAACCACCATAATTAATGGTAAGGTTTCAAAGTAATTGCATATTTAAAATATAAAGAGGTGCCATGCAAAGGAAAAAAGTGAATATGGATGAAAAAATAGATTAGTCCCTTGAAAGATACTCCCTCCGGTTCTCTAAAGCAAGTCGTTTTGAGGTTGTCTTAAGTCAAACATTTTAAACTTTGACTACAAATAACTTCTTTTGGGTTGAGTTTGAAAATATAAAAGTGATGTAAGTAGATTCATCTCGAAATGTAGTTTCATAAAAGTATATATTGACTATATTTTATAAATATTTTATAGCAAAAAGTTACAGTCAAAGTCTTTTCTTAAAGACCGTGTCGATATCCAAAACGACTTCTTTTAGAGAACCGGAGGGAGTAATAATTAATAAGTTTATTATGATAACTAGATATAGACTACAGAGTATCTATTATGTCTATTTGTGTTAAAAAATAAACAAAGATAAAACATATAATTTAATATAATTAATCCTTTATTAGTCAGATGTACTCCCATCATTCTAAATTATAAGATAATATAAGTTTTAGATATACACTATGTTTAGATACATAGTAAAAATAATGTTTCTATATAAGCCAAAACCTCTTATAATTTGGAATGGAGTGATTGTTAAACAATATAAAATTCTGTTCAGTGCGAGAGTACAGATTGATGAACTAGTTTATTACTATAACGGAGAGGAGTATTTAGTCACACGTTTATAGAGTCCAGTAATAATAATTTAAAGAAGGATTTCTGATTAGATAGCCCGGACTAAGCATTAGTCCATGTCACATTGGATGTTAGGATACTAATTTAGAATATTAAACATAGACTAATTATAAAACTAATTATACAGATGTAGACTAATTTGCGAGGTGAATCTATGAAATCTAATTAGTTCATGATTTGACAATGTGGTGCTACGGTAAATATATGCTAATGATGAATTAATTAGACTTAATAAATTCGTCTCGCAAATTAGTCTCCATTTGTATAATTAGTTTTATAATTAGTTTATGTTTAATCTTTCTGATTAGCATCCGAACGTTCGATGTGACATGAACTGCAACTTTACTACTCGGACCCACACACCCCGTTCTTAACCGATGATTGAGGACATGGGCGAAACAACCAATCGGCGTCGAACGTACAGAGAGAACGAGAACAGGGACGTACGATTGAAGAGACGTACAACTCCTAGTCTCCTACCAAGTTGGATCGAAAAGGGCGAATCGGCACTGACTAAAACAAGCGGCAGGTGGGAGCAAAACCGCTCATATGGACCGGGACCTCGGGCGCCCACAGGTATCGACAGCTCAAGTCGCGAGTTCGGAATCGTTTTGGTTTGGAGAAAAGGACGGGAGTTCGAGGAAACCGCGGCTGGACTTCGTACGTGCGACGGGCCGGGGCGCCCAGATCGCTGGGAGCGGGGAGCCAGGGACACACGGCGAGTCCTCACGCGCTCGCTCGCGGCGCCGTGCTTTGGCTCGATCCGGGCACCCGCTTCTGCGGGCGGTCCGTTGCGTCAGGCTGGGTCGCTGGGACGACGCGCGAGCGAGCGAGCGAACGCGACGATTCGTTCGCCGCAGCCGACCGCACCGGGGATCTGGGCATATCTGGCAGTGGCAGACACTGGATGGGAGGGTAGCACGCGCGTGGGCGCCACGCTCTGGCACGAGTCCCCCACACCACAGAATTTACCGAAATAATATGTCAATGGCATGCGTGGGCTCCTTTTTCTTCCTACTAGTTTTATTTGCTAGTTGGTTAATTGTTGTTTTCTTCAGAACATGATACATAGGAAAAAAAACACCCACACCTAAACCAAATGGTAGTAATAAGACCCGCTGTTTCTGTTGTAAACCTAAAACTATCTAATATTGTTTTTAATTGTCATTATACCCGGTTCCTTATAGCATGTTAGGGCCCCTTTGGAATGCAGGAATTTCACATGATTTACATAAGAAAAATTCAAGAAACAGGAAAAACTCCTTTGTTCCAAAGGGGGCCTTAGTATTTGTTTTGTATGGTACCCAATCACCATGAAATACCAGTTATTTGTTTGATAGTTGGTCAAAATTGAGTTATCACTAACATATTCAACTATATTTTCTAGGTCAATAGATTTTTGTTGGGCAATTTGGATCACAAGAGAAGACACCGTGTTAAAAGTCAACTAAAAAGCTTTTTCGGGTTCTTTTCAAGGGGCACATTGGCTTCAATTTTGGCTCTATTGCAACGCCTAGATGAAGACAAAGAATAGATTCTCGAGGCTGGTAGGCTACTAGAATCAAGACCAATGTAGTTTCCTACATCTAATGGATGGTCTTTCGGATACTGTTTTGGACTTTACTTTCAAACCTACAATAATTTTAAAGCCTTGGTGTCCGTGCACTTGTAATAAGTTTGAGCTGATGCTTCTTCTTTTAAGAGAAGGTTGAAGTCGGATGTTTCCATTGTCTAAAAAAGGGAAATCTCCCCACACACGATTAACCTTATGAATGTATGCATACACAACTCCTGTAGACGCTAGGGCCTGCAAAATTTCTGGTTAATTAATAGAGTCAACACAAGCTTCATTGTTTATAGGTAAATGCAAGCATCCATGCTCATGAGTTATATCGATTGTTATGGAAATGGTACATAAAGAGCTTACTCTCTAGGATGTAGGATCCCTTGAGGAATGCAAGTTTGTTGATCACTTGGCCAAGTGGCGACCCCCAAGTATACTATCCACAGTTGTAACTGTAAGCACCCACCAGAACCCTTCCTAGCCAGTACCGTGGAATGGTTTCAATAAGGCCAGTATGTAGTGTGAATTTCATCTAGTGAGATGACACATTAGCAAAAAAATAATGACACGGCATAGAAATTATGAGGAGAGAGAGAGGAGATGAGTTTCATCTATATGAAACCCAGTGCACACCGTTTCCAACGCATTATATTGGGAACCGAGTGAAACTCCATCGTGAGTGTTTCGTTTCATCCAGACACATTGGAAAACAAGTGAAACTCCACCGTGAGTGTTTTGTTTCATCCACACACATTGGAAAACGAGAGAAACTCCGCTAGAAGTGTTTTATTTCATAACACCACACAACATTTAAATGCTACAGTAGGCCCATATATGAGACTGCAAAATAAACTTATGTTGTGTGGGTCTTGTTTTATTTTACCATCCCACACCTTTTTAGCTTACATGGTTCTCTTGAAAATAGTGCGATGAAACATACTACTAGAAATGACCTAAGTCGTAATTGTCCAAAAGTGCGCTGCCACATATTATTGCATTGTATTGGCCCTTACTCTAAATAGTTCGGTGGTTTTTGACCGTGCAAGGCAATCTATGGTAATGAGTATACTGATGAATTGACAACAAAAAAATTTTAGGTTGTTATATCAAGGTATGTTCAGCGGCATATTGGATCAAGGAAGAGAAGGTTGACATGGTTTGTGACAAAGTCAAAGAGAAGTAATGATTTATTAACTTAGAAGGCAGTTTTGTAGATAACTATGTGTAGTAAATACTAGTTAAGGTTAGTACCTGATTTCTTTTTATAGAACCTTCGACTAGGTTCTTTGTTTTCTCAGCAAGTAGTCCTATTCAACTCCAGTTGAATCCGACCTAGGACCACATTTTTTTTCAATTTTTAAAGATCAAACCTATGCCTCGGTTCTATGTCCCCGAAACTCGTGGTCCAGTGATTAGAATTAAAATCACACAAGCCAAGCCAGTCTCCATCCTGGTTGGATAGGGGGCAATTGGGTATTTTGGCAGGCCATTGGCCCACTCTGGAAACCAGCTTTCCACTTTCAGGGAAACCGTAGGCTTTGGCAGTCCGGTGTGTCCACCGGTCGACCCTCTGTCCCTCCCGAGAGGCAGACGTGGCTCCGCCTCCCGATGCTTTATATACACCTCCGCCTCCATCTACCAGTACACCACACCATTCCGGTGTCTGCTCGTCTCCTTCCTCGCTCCGACCATTGACCCAGCACCAGTGACTCGGTGAGGTCGTGAGGATCCTTGTCTCGACGAAGCGAGCACCAGATAGTGTTAAAGGATTCAGGATGCGGATGAGTTGCAACGGGTGCCGCGTGCTTCGCAAGGGGTGCAGCGACAACTGCGCCATCCGGCCGTGCTTGCAGTGGATCCGCAGCCCCGACGCGCAGGGCAACGCCACCGTCTTCCTCGCCAAGTTCTACGGCCGCGCAGGCCTCGTCAACCTCATCACCGCCGGCCCTGAACACGTCCGACCCGGTATGTGCGTGTATCTATCACTATCAGTGTAGGCACCTATATATCTACACACTTCTCGCGGATCGTGCTCATATATGATGATCTCCGTGTATATGCAGCAATATTCCGGTCTCTGCTGTACGAGGCTTGCGGCCGCATGCTCAACCCGGTGTAGGCTCGGTCGGCTTGCTCTGGTCCGGGAACTGGCAGCTTTGCCAGGACGCCGTCGAGACGGTCCTCCGCGGCATGCCCATCGCGCAGCCCCCGCCCACAGCCACGGTTGTCCCGCCTCACCGGTCATGCGACATCCGCCACGTCGCCAGGAGGGAAGCAGGCCGCGGCGCCGGCGCCGTGGATGCCGGCCTCCACCGGATGGCCAACAGCTCGCGGGGACAATTCAAACGATCCGGCGCCCACAGATCCGCAGACTCCGGCGGCATCGAGCTCGTCTTCTCCCAGCCGTCGGCTTCGTCCATGCTGGTCGACATCCGACAGGCGCAGCCACTGAACTGGGCGCCACGCCAGCCAAGCCACGAGTACTCTGCCAGCCATGACGACGACGGCGCCGTGCGGGAGAGCGACAGCAACGCCTCGGTGGACACCGTGGATGTCTCTCATGTCAGCCAGTCCGAACCGGAGCCACCAAGAAAGAGCGATGAGCGTGCGGCGGATAGCCTGGACCTCACACTAGGTCTGCCACCGACGGTGCACAAGGTCGAGCCGTCGGACGTTGACGACGACCACCCTTGTCACAGAGGCGAACCGATGAAGCTCGGCTTGGCCATGGCGGATTCTAGAGCTAGATAATGAAATCGTTGGATATACGTACTACTCATCCGGTCGAGAGGGACTTTTGATTGCATGGAACTCGTTTTAGTATGTGTCTTAATTCGTAGTTTTGTACGGGTCGCTATGGTATTTTCTAGTTTTGGAAACATCGTGTGTAACAACAGTGCATGCCCTTTTTTGCATTTTTATGTATGATACACCGTTTCTTGATCTGTTCTTCTCATTATATTTAACTTCAGGTGTTTGGGTGACGTACCTCAAACAGTATAAGTATCCTGCTGTATATAGAGTTCGTGGACTTCTGTATACTGCACGCTCTTAACTCTGTCTCATGTAATGATTTCCTTTGTGATTATGATCACTGAGCCTATAGTTGGTTGGGCTGCCCACGGAGGTTCAAGTCCTCAAATTGACACGGGTGCTCATATTTTCATGGAAATTAAGTCAATAGTGCAGAACTGAGCACTAGTCCCGGTTGGGAAACCCCTTCAGTCCTGATTTTCCAACCGGGACTATGAATCTGGGACTAAATGACACTCTTTAGTCCTGGTTCCTGAAAGTGAACCTTTAGTCCCGGTTGCTGTTACCAAATGAAACTAAATGGGCCTCCATTGCCCCGTGGCCGACACCTTTAGTCTTGGTTGATATTGCCAACCGGTACTATAGGTACTTTTTTCTTTTTCTTTCCTTTTTCTTTTATGGTTTCTTTTCAATTCAATTCTTTTTTGTTCAATTAGCTTCATGTATACGAATTCTATGCTACTAATATACGGCCATACATATAAGTTTCTGTTCGAGCATTATACATAAATAACACACTAAGATGTATGAAACTATATATATACAAATATTTTAAAAGCTTGTACATGCATGGAATATGTACATAAAGTAACAAAAGCCTGTACTCATGTCCTTGGGATTGCATTCAATCCTAATCTTCATCACGGCTAGGAGATGTTCTTCTTCCGTCATAGTGGTACGGGCCACTGGGATTTATGACTTGGTCATTAAGAAATCCTGATAATGACTCTTGAATTGTTTTGATCTGGTCACTTTGTATGACCCTTTGCTTCAACCATTCACGCTTCAATTCGAATGAAAGGAAAAGTATGAATATATATCAAAGGAACCCCATGCGAGGCCGAGGACCCAGAAGCACTCGCCATCTATGACTCTCTATACTTATTTTCATCAACTACTATAAATTTCTCATTTTGTAAATCATGAAATTAAATGAGCTATATACTAGCAAAGAAAGGTGGATACTCGTTTAATTTTGATCAACTACTTTAAGCTTTCTTCTTTTGCATATGCAAACTATTAAGTGAGTTTGAGCTCAAATGGTGTTTAAATCCAAAAAAAATCCACCATATTCTTTCCAATGTAAAATACCTTAAATTTCTCTATTTCTAAACCATGAAATGAGGCAATGAAAGGTGCATACTAGCTTTGATGCACTACTATAAGCTTCCTTCACCTACATATGCAAACTATCAAGTGATTTTGAGCTCAAATGGCGTATAAATAAAAAAATCCACCATTATGCTCAACCTAAAAACCACAAATTTTTCTATTTCTAGACCACGAAATGAGCCATTCTAGTGACGAAACATGAGAGGATGAAGTTGCTAATCTTTAGAACCAAAAAATGGATGGAGGAATCGAATGAAGTCTTGAAATGGCAAGAACAGAGAGCTTGAAATGGCTCGGGCTGGGGAAGGAAGAAGGACAAAGTATATAGACCGGGACCTGTAGTTCCGGTTTGTGGTTCAAACCCAGACTACATGTCGAACTATAGTCCCGATTGGAGCCACAAACAGGGATTAAAGGTTTAATTACGGCTAGCAGCTCCAACCAGGACTAGAGGATGACCTTTAGTCCTGGTTTGAGCCCCCAACCGGGACTAGAGGTCCCCTCCTGTAAAAGCCTGCGGCTTTAGCCGTTGGGCAGGGGACTTTAGTCCCGATTGGTTGCTCCAACCGGGACTAATCCTCTCTTTAGTCCCGGACCCAAATATGGCTGAGACTAAAGCCAAAAATTGATCCAAACCAAAAGTCTGTTCTCTAGCAGTGAGTCCTCAACTTGACATAGGTGGTGCTCGTATTTTTCTGTATTTATTCCATGATTTAATGGCACTACACTTTCCATGGTAGGTGACGTGTGTCCGTCAATAGTGAGATACCTGTGGTGACTTTGTCAATCTTGACGTGCCCGCCAACAGCGAGACGCATGTGGTGATTTTGTCAATCTTTAGATTTCTTTGGTCCAACTCAAGACTTGAGGTGCTCATAGGGATATAGAGTGTGCGTGCGTTTATAGAGATGAGTGTGCGCTCGTGTAAATGAGCGTCTAGGTCTCAAAAAAAATTGTGACTATAACTGGTCAGCTGATCTGTGCTTGTACGTGTTTGGTTATTTCATTTTAGGTATATATGATGGAAATCTAGGGCTATGCCTAACGGGCAAACACTATCTAATCTAATAATTTTATATACCCTGAGTCAAGTGGGTTTTTGTCTCTCAGAAATTATCAGATGAACAAAATATTTATTAATTTGTTGCATAATATTGGGTATACGGAGGCTCGCTCGTGTGGTATGCGCATACTCTCTATAGTGCATGAGCTATAGTACTATCTTCTTTCTCCTGCAAACACTGATGAAAAACAAAAAGATTGATGTACCAAGTTAATTTTTATCCAAAGCGAACATATGGTTCAAATTGGAGTCTAGCTAGCAATCCGGTCATCCCCTTACACACGGTGCACAACTTGTAGTTGTTGTAAATGCAGAGAACCTTTTCTTGGTGCACGCGGCGCCCCCACAAGGGGAGGTTCAATGTATATGGAGAAGGCATGTCGACCGGGAGGCAAGTTGCATAAATAACAATGAGAAAGTTAGATAGAGTTTGATCATCTCCAAACAGCCGAGGAAGAGCTGACAAATGAAGGGAGAAGTTCTTTAGACAATTTGCCAAGTAGCTGGTTAAATTAAGTATCTGCAGCCAATGGTAGTAGTGTGGTTTAATTTGACACAAACATGGTACGGTCGATCTATTTATAGATTCCCTAGCGTCAGAATCGAACGGCTCAATAATGGCGTGCATCATGCATACGCTATTACCGGATGAACCATCGATTAACACTGGATTCGTGGTATGTTTAAGTATTTGGGGCCTTTGTCTTGAGTTATTTGATGCAGATCTCATAGCACTGTGATGTACGATTTACTATATATAAATGCATAGTAAAAGCTATGTGTACTAAAACATCACAACGTCTTATAATTTAAAATGAAGAAAGTATATAGATTCTTAATTAGTTTCCTATATAATCCATTCAGAAGATGGATCACACTGTATCCTTATTGCGAAAGTACGTGTCTTAGTTCTTACTATTTATATTACTATTCCATCAAGCGCTCTACTTGACATGTACGGATTTTCAGAAAACAATACAGTGAATTTCTTGAGAATGGCATTCTCAAAAGTTACAGTATATATTTCATGCTGAACTGCTAAAAAGTATTATATTTTCCTGTACAGTGCGTGATGATAATCAACTACGTGTGTATACATTACTAAAAAAACAGGTTTTCAAGATGCCATTTTTTTCTCAAAATGTGGTCAATAAGGGACTCGCCTTGCTGTCAAATGGCCCTCGGCCATGTTCTAAATTAAGTGTCTTATTAAGCGGTTAGAGACATCTTAGATTACCGGATTTATTTATATATAGATGTACACGCCATCTACCTTTAGAAATCCATTTTAGAGGCGACTGCCATTGAAAATTGAGGTAGTGTATATAAATAAAAACATTCTCATACGACCCTAGATGAAGACAAACTTTGAGCATGATGATATCTAAAACTTAATAGTTGACGATGTTTTCATTTAAAATCATTTAGAGGCCAAAATATTGCTCATAAGTTTTTAAATCTATTTTAAAATGAATTTTGAATTTTCAAACGGGCTTAGGTAGAGACATGATATATATCAAAGTTGTAGTGCATCACAGTTTTGTGATTGATACCTTCTTAAATTTAAGATCGTTTATGATGCCAAATGCACACTACAAGGTTCGAAGAGGTGATGTTAAAAGAATAACATGGGCTATTTTTAATCCCTTTCAATTAGCTAATGGGCTAACAACTAGTTTGATGTTGGCTAACAATTATCCCACTTGTTTAGCTACCCTGGGGCTATTTTTTTAGCAGGTAATAACACAATTAGCTTGGTGTATCTAAACCGGGCCCTAAATAGAAAATCAAGTCCAACAAACTTCAACCTTGCTATGACTACAAGGCTAGCTATGACCGAGAGTTGCCTTCTCTAAAAATAATTCTCTCAAAAGCATATTATCAGTCCTTAGCTTGGTTTTGTCACATCTAGAACTTTTTTTTTGTAGAATAAGAATTTTTCTATTTAGGTGCTCATTTATGTGGCGTCAGTTTGTTTCTAAAGAGGCCACCAAAACACTCAGCCTACCCGAGCATGGTAATTTTCCTTCCTTCATTTTGTTGTATGTTTTCCTGATGCCCATGGGTTTTTTTTTAACTGAAACTGTGTAGCAAACCTCCCCAGGAATTTATTAGAAGAAGGCCAAAAGAGGTACAACAGATTAGCCAAGAACTAATGAAACAGTTAGCCAAGAGCTAACAGCAGCTACTTACAAAGGCTAAAATAGTCAGAGAAAGAAAGAAAACACACCAACTACAAAAGATTGAGCCAATCCATGATTGAAGGGTTGAAAGAAACATTGGTCCTATACAAATGGAGTTTAACTTCATTTGCGAAAGACTGCTTCCAGGTAGCAACGGAAGGCAACTTATTGTTGAAGATCTTCGAATTACGTTCATTCCAGACACACCATGCTGCTATCATAAAGACTTCCATGAAGAAGGGACGTTGCAGAGTGCTCCTTTGTTGTTGTAGCATTTGAAAAACACTACTTTGAGGTGACCAAAATAATATCCTGATGCCCATGTTATTTGTATGTATCATAATTGTGTAATTTTGTGA